GTAAGTTCCTCTACATCCCTTCCCATCCTCCTATCCCCAATTCCCTTGCTCCTGGATGCATGCTTATGCTATGCATTATCCAAATACACACATTAAAGCCCCTGGAATACCAGTTTGGCCAATTGCAGACAAATTCTTTGTCTCTAGGAACATTTCTGGTTTGGGTTTTGTTTTTTTGGGGGGGCGGAGGTGTCAGAGTTTATTTATCAAAACAGTGCAGTCCAGTGTAATTGGATGTGGCTGAGGGCAAGAAGTTAGTGTTCACATTTACAGAATTTGAGTTGATTCAGTTGTGCGAAAAGAGAGAGAACTAACAATTCTAGCAAATCAGGGACTATTCACTCTCTCCCCAGCATGGCACCCAGTTTCAGTATCCCTTAACTGTGAGCATGCAGACAGAATGCTGTACTGCTTCTACCCTGGATGCTCATTATGTCCAAATACATTTATCATTAAACAAGATGCAGCCTGCCATTCAGTTGATATTGGTGTATTACTTTCTTGGGATCAATAAGCTCTGCTTATTGTAATCAATACATTACATGAACAATACAATTTTCTTATTGCTGTCCAACCTTTCTCACACTGCATTTTGGCTAAAATAAGAATACATCTGGGTTCGCATCGTGAAACTTCTTTGACCTTACCCAGGATGGCCACAGGCATGTAACCATTCAAATTATGGTAATAGAAACTGTGATTTTTAGGCATTTTTAAATATACATTTCTTGGGGAGCTATGGGAGAGAGTTTACTGAACTGCAAAATGCCTGTGCATAAGGTTCTATTGTCTTTTATTTTCACTGAATGGTATTAAAATGATTCTTTAGTTATTGTCAGAGCTAACTGTATTTTCCGAAAGTATTTAAGAGGTTCTAAGTGATATGAGGCCAGTAGTCTCAATTGCAGTGTCTTCTACCAACACCTATTGTTGGCTCCAGAAAAATGTCAGATGCTTGCTAGCCAGGCTGGGCCTTATAGCCTGTTAGTGCAGTGCCTGTCAGAAATCATTAGCTACTGATCTCTTTGACTAATGTTCCAGTTCATTGTCTGATTCATGTTCAAGATCTGTAAATGAGGCAGAAGCATCTTTACTGCTTACCAGCTGTGAGATGGCTAAACACAGCTAGATTTTCAGAAATCAAAATAAATATATTTCCAATAAAGTTTGACAACAATATCAAATGCAAAGCTTAGAGCAGAGCTACAGTTTTGTGGTTTTTAAAGTTACAGTATTATAAATCAATAATATGCCTTCATGTTTTTGTCAGAGTAATGTATTTTACCAAAATCGCAAAATACTGGTAGTAGCATTAATCTTGTGTCGAGCTGGATAGACATTCTTCATTCAACATAAATTCATACCTTCGATTTTTACTCTTTTGTCCTTTATACCCAGATGTGTCAATGTTTAGGACAGCCTATGTCCCTTTGTCTGAGTCCTCAGTGTATGCTAACGAGGTATGTGCATGGTTTTGTGTATGTAGAAAAGAAGTACAGGTGTAACAACAACAAAACAAAACAAAAGGAGTGGGATTTTGAGGAGGGAAAGTCTTAGGAGAGGAGCTGTTTTATATTAATAGAATAACCCCACAAGGGTCATACTGGCATAATGCTGAGATAACTAGAAGCAAATCTGCTCCTGGGATCTGACTAATATTTTTCTTGGCAAAGGGGGTAAATGTGAAAATCACCTCTATCTACAGAATCAGTGCAAGAACTGTATGACAAATAGGCTCTAGTTTGAGGATTTAAGCAGAGCTTGTTACTTTATCTTTGCACTGTAACTAATTGTAGCCACAATATACTTACAAAGACCCAGGAAGAGAGTTGATTCTGGAAAGAGGTGCTCCCACGCTAGCTATCGTCCTTCCAGGTGCACCTGCGTCCAGCTTTTGTTGCTGAGCAGGAAAACAAGGGAAATTGTGCAATGCATCCTGTTGGGGTTTTTTTATTTATTCCTCTTTTGGAACCATAAAACCTCCTTTTTCTCTTTCTCCCTTTTTTTTTTTTTTTTCCATTTCTTTCCCCTTTTCTCTTTCTTTTCACCTTTCACCTTTCCCTTTCCCCCTTTTTTTTTTTTTTTCTTCTCCATACACCAAAATAATACTGGATAGCATGTAGGATAGTTGTCTATAATGTGGAAGACAAAGTTGGAGTCTTCACCCTGCCACCTTCCCACATTCTGCATAAATAAGAGCAAGCAGTTGAAATCCACTGTTCATTTCTATATGACTTTTATTGTCATTTTATTTTGGGGTTTTTTAGCCAGTAATTCTACTGTAGACCCACAGAAGTATGAAGTTTGAGACAGTCAGTGTGCTTTGTCACACAGAGACAAAAATTAATTCATTACCAGAATCAGTGCAGTTTTCAGAATTTTTATATTGTTAAACTTATCTTACATTTTCTTTTTAGAGGGAGAAAAAAGTGTACATTATACTGATCTGTTCAACTGCATATACAATGGTATTTTTCTACTAGTTGCTAGGAGTATCAAACTCTTTGAAACGATATGGAAATTTTATAATGGAGTCTAGCATCATCAGGATAAATTTATTGCAACAGCTTACTTTCTCAGAAATCTTTGTACATAGCAAAATAAAACTAAAATAATAATAAAAAAAAAAAGAAAGACAATTTTCCCCTTCAGTAACTCTAAATCTCTGAAAACATTGAGTTACCAAGATGACATTTTAATGCACAATATTTACCATGGAATACTGAAGCAGATGAATGTTACTTTAATAATAAGACTTTTGCTTCTCCAACATTTACATGTTAATCCAGCATTTCATCCAGCCCTACCTCCACTCCGTTTTCTATCCTGAATGTTGAAGTTAAGGCATGAACCATAATTGAGGAGGCTCCTCTTCACTTGCTCTACATAAATGGATACCGGGCAACTGTAGTGTACAGGGGCACTGTACAGCTCTTTTCCATTAAGAATACATCCCTTTCTGTGTGTGTATGTAATATATGAAGCTGGAGGAGTTACTTAAAATACAAGCATATTTTCTATTATGTTTCTACTTCTAATGCAGGATATTTTCTATTGTAATTTATGAATATTTTCTCCCTTTCATGTAGATGATTTAATTATTGTTATTTCATCATTATTTAGAGTGAAACGTCTGATTTATATAACGTAGTAGTAATCTGGGACCAAAATGAACATTTTTCATCAATACAAATGAGTGGCTTTATTTATTCACTTCTTTCTAGCAACTGTTTCAGGGATGCAGTGAACCAACTTTTTACTTTAGCTGCTCTGTCTAGGTTTTCCCTTGGTTTTAGCTGTACTTTCTAGGCTTTTTCATATCTTTAGTAAAAAGAAAAGTACAGCAGCCCAAGCCTTAGGCACCAAAGTAAACTTCCTGTGATAGATAGTAACAACCAGAGGCCTAGTTAAATATTGCAGAGGACAGTTTAAAGTCTTTCAGGATTTCAGTCCTGTACGTAGAGTTTCAGAAACCTCCTGACACTTTTATGGCAGGTTTTCTTATATGGACACAGTTACTACAACAAATGTTGTAGCTCCTCTGGGTTAAATGCAAACCCAAGAACTGTTTTTTGGACACTTGTGTGTATCTCTGATACCATCCTGGAGTATTAGAAGGACACACTACAAGCTTTGACAACTTTGAGTTTTGGGCGAGGTCTGAACTGATGTGACAACTTACTAACTGAAGTGCCTTTATGCTCTTTTTGTCATCTTCTGCATTGGAAATGACTCAATTGAATGACTCGATTGAGAATGACCTTCAAGTATAACATGCAATGCTAATGTACCTGAGTATATAACTGATAAGAAAGTACTTGAGGTATGGTAAGTAGTGCAGTGCACATTAATAAATGCTACTTTTTGTGTAAACAAAGCTTACATAAAAAAAAAAAAAAAAGAAAAAAAAAGAGCCTTGTCCAAGGATACTCCTGCATGGAGTAAAACTCTTTCAAGAACTAGCAAATCTGAGTATTGGAAACTGGTAGAAATGGTGACATCCACAGCATTAGCGTACACAGGTTGTCTTCTTTTGACCCATGTACTTTGTCAATGACAGGGGATGCAGTCTTAATAGAAAATTCCCTATCTTTTGTCTTAGTTTAAATAGGCATCTTGGGGCATGCACGATACTGTTGTATGTCCCTGGACATCTCCCATCCCCCTTCAGAGCTGGTAAATGACATTCACTACTCCTTTCTTAGAAATGTGCAAAAAGGATTTCCATAGATCGTCTTTGGAGATTTGCTGTTTCCTCATGTGTGTAATAGGTTGTATCAAGCAATAAAGAGGAGGGAGGAAAGGATAAGATTTAATTTTATATGTACTCTCCCATCATCACCATTGGAAACAAAAGGCCTGAAAAAAGAAATTATGCAATAGTGGTGATGGCAGTGTTAAGATCACACATTTTTATACAGCAACTGTAAGCCTTTGGTTAAGGAAGTGGTCATGGTAATAGAATACATTCCCAGCCAATGTTAACAAATTGCTTGTGTGCATAAATAGTCATAAAAATAACAACTTTATCTGCTTCTTTTAAGGCAACATAAATTAAATGAATAGCCTATAAATTATTGACTTCTTGTGCACCCAGATTCTACTAAGAGAAGTTGTCAAGTTGATAGTTTAAAGAAAGAAAAATCTCAAGTTTATTTCAGCGGATCATTCTAAAACACTATGAATGCAAAAGATGCCATCTTAAGGTATTCATTATTAGACATTCATAAAAGCACAGCCTCTTAAAATCTTTTAAATTATGGATAAGGAAATTTATATTGTGAATCAGGTAATATCCCTTTGGCTTTTGCAAAGTGCTAAAATACAGGGATTTAAATGAAGGTTATATCTCTTTAATTTGTAATTATTGAGTAGTTTCAAACAACTATAAGTAATGATCAAAAAACTAGTCCCATTACAGCTAATTAAGGAAGAAATGTACAAGTGTGAAAACTTTTACTTTTGTGTTTCATATGGACTTTTATTTTCCTGTTTCACAGACTTTGGACACCTCTGTAAAAATCTTCACACCACTTTGTGATTCTGCTGGCCTAAGCAGAGCATATGCAGCTATCGCCAAGATCCTGGTAAGGTAGGTTAGGACATCCTTGTCAGCGCAGATTCATTCAACTGTGAAAGACTTAAATTGTTAGAGATCTGTCGCTTCCTATTACTGACTGCTTAAGTTTTAAGCAGTGCCCTTCTTGCAGTAAGTGACCCTTTCATGGAAAGTTATTTGAAGCTGGTACATATTTTCTAAAGTGTATGATCCAAGCTTTTCTTTACCTGTAAACTATAATATGTCCTTTTCCCCTCCCTACTTTGGGGACTGGGGTTTTTTGTATATTTGTTTGTTTTACCCAAGACTGGGAGGGATCTTACTGAAAAATGGAAATCCAGGCATATTTTCTAGGTTAAAAAAGACTTTAAAGAATGTAGCAAGCTTCAGCAGGTGTCTCAGTGTAACCTTTCTGAGCTCTAAGTTTCTATCTATTGTACTCTCTTCTGTGGAAGAATTACTAATTTGTGCATGTGTAACTAGATATAAATTTGTGGAAAATAAAATGTTTGTCTTCAATGTTTTCCTTTCAGCATCTGAAATTAAAAGCTAATTCCAGGTGAATTTGTTTGAAATTCTTCAATTTGTTACAGAAATTATTTTGACATAAAGTTGTCTAATGTAATTGTCATATGAAATAAGAAACATAAAAGAGGTTAAAGTTAAGGTTGCAGCTTATCCTTGATTCCTGCTATGTTTGGAGACTTCAGTGCATGTGATGCATGATAGAGGTTGGCAAATTTTTTATAGAGAAGGGCTTCTCACTAGGTTTATTTCAGTGTACAGAGCAAATTCTCCTGTCTGAGTTAGATCCCTTTTTTCTCAGAGCACACAGGCGCCAGCAACAATCACAGGTCTCTTCAGCTCCCTAGTACATGACTTAACGGCTACCACCCTCACTGTAAAATATTTCTTCCTAACATCTAATCTAAATCTACCCTCTTTCAGCTTAAAACCATTACCCTTTCACAAGGGTATCACAACAGGCCCTGCTAAAAAGTCTGCCACCGTCTTTTTTATAAGCCCCCTTTAGGTACTGAAAGGCCGCAATAAGCTTTCCCTTCAGGCTCAACAACCCCAACTGTCTCAGCCTGTCTTCATAGAAGAGGTGCTCCAGCCTTCCTGTGGACCTGCTTCAACACCCCCCTGACCTCAGCATGTCTTAGCATAGCTTCTGGGAGGATCTGCTCCATGATTTTTCCAGGCAGAGAGGTAGGACTGACAGGTCATTAGTTCCCATGGTCCTTCTTTCTACGCTTTGTAAAAATAGGTGCAATGTTTCCCTTTTTCCCATCACCAGGCACTTCACCTGGCAGCCATGACATCTCAAATGTACAGCCAATTCCCTTGGGACTCTGGGATGCATCGCATCAGATCCCATAGGCTTATGTGTGTTCAGATTCCTTGGGTATTTATAAACCTGATCTTCTCTTGCAGTGGGAGGGATGTTGCTCCCCCAGTCAACATCTTGCAGTCCATCCACCTGAGAGGTGTTAAAAGAGAGGTTGCCAGTGAAGACCAAGCCAAAAATTTGTTGCGAACCCCAGCCTTCTGTTGTCTGTTGTTATCATTTTGCCAGGAGTAGTCATCAGGGGGATATGCTTTCTTTGACATTCCTTTTCTGGCTGACATACCTTTAGAAGCCCTTCTTATTCTTTTCATCCCTTGCCAAGTTCAGCTCCAGCTGTGCCTTGGTGTTCCACACCCCATCCCTACACAGCCAAGCAGCATCCCTATAATTTTCCCAGGATATGTGTCCCTGCTTCCACTGCTCATGCATTTTCTTCTTGCCCTTTGGTTTGACCAGCAGGACTTGACTCAGCCATGCTGGTACCTTGTGTTCTTTTCCTGATTTCTTACACCTGAAGATTGAGAACTCTTGTGCTCTGTGGAAAGGATCCTTAAAGATCTGCCAGCTCGGTTATGCTCCTTTGTCCTGAGGACAGTTTCTCAAGGTATCCTATTGACTAACTCCTTGAAGAGCTAGAATTTTGCTTTTTCAAAATTCAGTGTCCTGACTTTATTCCTCACGTGACCCATATCCCTCAGGACTGTGAATTCCATCAGTGCATGGTCCCTGCAGCCCAGGCTGCCTCCAATCTTGATGTCATCAATTAGCTCATTTTTATTGGTGTCCAACAGCTCCAGTATCGCATCCCCTCTTGCAGGGCTGTAAGTTACCTGGTTTAAGAAGTTAATCTCGATGCAGTCCAGGAGCCTCTTGGATTGCCTGCAGCTCACTGTGCTACTTTTCCAGCAGATGTCACTATGGTGAAATCCCCCAGCAGGATGAGAGCCTGCAAGCACAACGCCTCCTGTAGCTGGAGTAAGAAACCTTCATCAGTAGACTCCCCTTGATTGGGTGGTGTGTATTAGACACCAGTCATGTTTCCTTTGCTGCCTTGGTCTTTAATTCTTGCCCATGAGCTTTCAACCTGCTTATGGCTATTCTTCAGAGACAGCTCTTCACACTCTATCCATTTCTTGATGTAGAGGGAAACCCTTCCACCTCTCCTTCCTCACCTGTCTCTTCTGAACAGCCTGTAGCTATCAATAGCTATACTCCAGTCATGGGATACATGTCTCAGGTAAGACATATAATCTGTCTGTGGGCTTTATGTCTTCTGTAACGCTTGAACTCCATGACTGAGGATCATAAGACTTGTGTAGTTTTTATCCATTTTCTTCAAAGGCCAATTCTGTTAGGAAGTGTAACAGATCATGAGACACCATTCCATAAAACCCATTCATTCATTGTTTTCAGTAGAAATGGATAAACTCCATTATAACTTTCACTATATCACAAGCAGCAGAAATAGCTGAGTAGTCTGTAAAATATCTCTGACATGAGAAAATAGCACAAGCAACATTTGAATTGAGTGTTGAAGAAGCTGGCCAAATCAAGGCTGCTTTTGATTATCTTTGAAAGGCTGTAGCAACTAGGGGAGATTCCTGAGGACTAGAAGGTTGCAAATGTCACTTCTGTCTTCAAGAGAGAGGATCCAGGAAACCTCATGCTGGTCAGCCTTGCTCTTATCCCTGAGAAAGTGACAGAGCAAATGATCCAGAAGCGATTTCCAAACATAATAAGGACAAAAGGGTGATTAGATTTAGTAATACAGGGAATTTGTACTTCACCAACCTGATAACTTTCTATGATAAGAAGACTGGCTTGATGGGTAAAGGAAAAGCAGTGGATGTTGTTTCTCTCAATTTTAGCCACGCTTCTGTTGTTATTGCTTATAACCTCTTCATAAATAAGCCGATAAAATATGGCTTAGATAAATAGAAAGTGAGGTAGACTGAAAACCAGCTGAGATGCTGTTCTTCAGAGAACTGTAAACAGCAGCATGAGGTCCAGGGGGAGATTAGTTACTAGTGGTGTACTCAGGCAACGGTACTGGCACAAATACTGATTAAAATCTTCATTAAGAACCTGGATGATGAGACCAAGTGCATCCTCAGCCTCTTTGCAGACAATACAAAATTGAGGAGAAATGATTGATCCATACATAGGTGGCCGTGCTGCCCTTCAGAGGGACCTCAGCAAGCTGGAGAAATGAGCCAAAAGCAGTCTCATGAAGCTTGGGAATGGGAAATGCAACATCCTGCACCTAGGGACAAATAAGCCCAGGCACCAGCCTAGGCTGTGAGCTGACTGGCTGGGAAGGAGCTTGGCAGAGCAGGACCTTCAAAAGTCACTCAAAATTCCACAGGCCTCCTCTAGCTGACCCTGCTCTGAGCAAGGCGAATGGAGATAGCTCTGGAGATCCTTTCCAATCCTAACTATACTCTGATTCTGTGTTGCTGTCTTAAGCAGTCCTAGATAAATTGTTTTGCCATGTAATGCTCTCTGGCAGAACACTTTTGGTAACCCAGCATGACAAATATTTCAGACAAACCTACTTCTTAAAATTCAGTGACAGAAGTTTTCATGGAAAAAAAATCATGCTGATCCGACTCTGCTGGTTCTTCCTTATAGCAGGAAAAGGCAGAGAAAAGTGATTTGAGAAGCCAGTGTAGGTTTACTTTCACACCAAACTTTTGGATATTTACTTGTCTGATGTATAATAAACAAGCAAATTTCTGACAAGCCTGTTCAGAAAACATTGGATAAATGCATGAATACATACTGTTGGTGACAGAATTTCCGTACTCAGCTTGATCACTTTTTCTTTACTTGTATTTTTATCTGATCTATGCTAGACTTGTGCAAATAATAATTTGATGGGTAATGTCTTTACAAAGAAAAGATGGCTGTTTCTCTAAAATAGTATGTTTTAAACATAACATCTGAGAGTTCGCACTTACTGCCTTGTGACAGGTTGGAGGAAGTCAGCTGAGCCTTCCCAAATCACTCAGAACTTGTCTATAGCTTTGGAATATTTTGTGAAATCTGTTCCAGATATTTTCACAGACCATGGGAAACTAAAAATCTCTATCATGTGCATTTAGGCATGTCATTTTCCAGGGAAAAATCTGACATAATAGCATCATGTTCTTGACTTATTCTGCAGGTGTCCACCATGGTAATGACTTCTTGTGGACACATGATTTATACATCCAATTCAATCACATGAGCAATCCTATAAAAGGTGCATATTTTCATAAAAGTCTAATAGGGGTAAAAATCTCATAGGGCATTTTAGCATGAAACTGGAAAATGAGTTGCTGTAGATCTGTAATCTCTTCTGCTGAAGTCATCATAACTGTTCTGTGGGATCATGAATGACTATATCTTTTGGAAATTACATTTTATGCATTTAGAGAGGTGGTGTCTAAGGAGATAGAAAGTATATGGCTGTATAAAATAACATGTAGATTTTTGAAGGAACTATAAAATATTAGCCCTTTGAGTAGGAAATACCTGTTCATCGTGTTATTGGGTCTTGTACACGATAAAGTGTTTCAGTAATCCTTCTAGCATACTTTAAATATCTCAAGCTGGAGTGCTTTTAAAAGCACTTCCTTGGAAAAATTGCTAAACTCTACCAACCGATTGCTAGTTGGCATAAGTGAAGTTCTAACAGTGAGAAATATCTTTCTGTTGTATCAAATTGATTTCTGTTTGAAAGAGGTTGCCCTAGCAATTTTCGTATTTTCTATATGCAGAGCATTGGTTTTTATGTGAAATATAAAAAATGACCAAATATACATCAAAACATTTCTATTAATTCATGAAATTAGGAAAACCTTTTTACATTTTCTCCTGTCACTGATTCCATTTGCTTTATTACTTTCAGCCTCTAGCCCGCAAACTTGGTGGCACAATCAACAAACCCCTTAGTGGCTGTTTCATCTCTGCTCTATTTGATTTCTCCACTCTGAGTAAATGATTAAGTTTTCATGCATTGGTTCAACCAAAATCTATGTTCACTGAACCACATCCTTTATTGATTACTTCTACTGCAAACAGTAGGCCAAGTGTGATATACATAATTGGACAGTTGTCAGGGGATGTGGGTGTTAACAGTCCTGTTTTCCCAATTGGAAACTGGAATCACCTTGATACACAAATATTCTGCACTGTTTCATTCTCATTCCTTGGACCAAGGAGTCCTTTTCCTCAGAATATATGTTTTTAACTCTCAAAGGTCTGGTTGAATGGATTTAATGATTATACCATATAATACGCTCTTCAAGTTGCACCTGTGCACTGCATATAGAAAACTAGAAAAACTGGAATTAATATTTGTCTAACACTTTAACCTTGTCCTTTAACTTATATAAATCATATGCTGTGTTTCTGTGGAGGAACATTTGATTTTCCCTCCTTAGGAAAAAAAAAAAAACCAAAAAAAAAACCGTGTTTCTAATTCTAAAATTTAGAAGCCTTTTGATGCTTGGCAGATGCTTACAGTACAGCATATTTAATGTGCTCATTATATTAAAATACTTAAATTAGGAAACTTTAGTAAATCCAGCTCTGCTTATTGACAGCTAAGATTTATGGTAGCTTATAACATGTGGTAGTTAGTTTGCAGTGGTTTATCATATCTTTCTAGGAATCTAGCTCATCTCAGTCACATATAGATAATCACTGCAATATTGTAAATTTGCAGCCATGTTTTGCTGTGTTTCCTATTCCCTGGCAGGGTCTATCCTGTTATAATTAATCTAATGGAAGGGAACTGCAGACTTCTAACAGATTTTGAAAGCACATACCCCTAATATAGTTTATAATAAAAACTGTAATGTAAATGACCCTCAGTCATTTAATGCAGGAAGATGACTTTAAGGTGTTTTAAAATGGTGAGAAAATAAATCACAATTCTTTATCACTTACAGGAACTTCTATTTCTGTGAGTTTCTTAATTAAGCCTAGATTTTTCTGTCTTGCTTGGTGGCTTGACATTTAGCATGCTACACTCCTACATTAGTGACTCAAGTTCATGGCTAATATTGAGGTCAGCTGCAGTAACACTTAAGCCTTAAAGGGAAAAAGAGCGTAATGCCTTACTCACAAGCAAACCTAGATATCTATCTTATGTCTTGTAATCATACTGCAGAGATCTTATACCGTTAATATGACTGGATTTATTAAAAAATAAATAAAATAAAATAAAATAAAAAATAAATAAATCTGCAAATGTTACTGTCAAAGTACATTAGCCAATTTTCAACTTAGATTCAGCTGTGACCTCAAGTTGCTCTGATCTCACTGGGATTTGGGGGTGACACCTGCAATCCACAGTTTATAGGTTTGCCTGTGTGATTCCAGCAGCCTTTTATCCACCCAGCCAAAGTGCAATATTGCACTCAGGGAAAGGCTGTGATCCCCAGAACTAACAGACAGCACCATTATGGAGCTATTGCTGCACCACCAGGGTTCTAGAGCAAGAAATGGCATCTCTGAATGACAGGAGCCCAAAAAGTCTTACTGAATTCTTCCCCTATTTTGTCAGGATACGGGGTCCTGCTGTACTGAAAATGTTATCAGCTGCTCAGTAGAAAAAACTGGAAAAAATGGTAACTCCAAAACCCTTATAAAAACATCACCTGAATTTTAATTTGTGGCCCTAAAATATGGCACCATATTCAGAAGAAAAACTTTATTTTATTTCACTTAAAGGATCCAGTTCTGCCCTCAGGGGTTCTGTGTGGACTCATTTTGTTGGTCTCAGTACAGGTAGTGCCCAGGTGACTGTTTCAGAAATAAAGTCCAGTCATGAATGAGTCACCATAAAGTTGCTTCAGAGCAGGCAGATAGTTCTTCAGCATTTGGAGAAGCCATCTGAGTGGGTTTTGTCCCTGTCCTTTGCTTCAGTCAGGGAAAAGCAGCTGAAACTACGAAGCACTTGGAAGAGTTTATGAAGGCTGCTGAGAACACTCATCTAAGACAAAGCCTGGTGGATGCATGTGTATTACTTGGGAATATTTACAATGAAAGAGTAAGTATTGGTTGCAGTAATGATGTCAAACAATTGGGTTTAATTCATGGTAAAAAACTAAGTTTGCATATGAGATGGCCCAGAATGATTTCATCCATGTATATGCCTTACAAGAGCTACCAAAGAAAATATTGTGTGACTAAATAAAATGTGCCATAAGTTTTTGGGTGAGGTGAAAAAATCACACCATATTTAACGCATAGGGGTTTGTTCTAGATCAGGTGAATAAAAAACTCCAAATTCAGATTATGGAAAATTTTCAGTGTTGTGAAAATCTGCATCCAAATCACCATTCAAGCCTCATATGCCCATAAAGAGTTAACACAAGTGAAATTTTATTGTACTACACATTGAAATTCACACTTTTTCAAAATGAATGTATACTATATTAATAAGCAGTATTTTATTTTAGCTTTTATTTTTTTCTCTTCATTCTCTCAGCTGAATTTAAAAAATGGGTGCTATCAACAAATAGTTTGGCAAAGGTCTGTGCTGGTAGTGTGCTGGTAGTGGAAGTGCTTTCCCTCCTATGTGCCTCCTTCCAGTCTGATGGCTTTGATTTGGCCAGTCTAAATCAATAGATAGTCAGTGATAGGCAATATTAAATTAAGCCAGAGGTGACTAAGAAACTCCTTTATTATAGTTTCTAAGGTATTTTGAGGTGCTTCTTTCAGACCCATGTGTCAGTCTCTGAATGGTTCTGGTATGGATTCTGCAAAGGCAGCAGTTCTGTTCGCAGCCTGTCTAACTAGCAATTTACATGCTTACTCTGCCCCTTACCACATCTAGAGATGTAGCATTTGCACTGCAGGAGCACTTTTTTTAGATGATAAGAGTTAAAAACATTACTGCAGAAGTGAAAAATTCATGTTGAGCTCTTAAACACCTATTTTAGAACTGAAATGTTACATGAAATTATTTAGATACAATGAGTAATAAAAACAATGTACTGCAGACTGTACATTGTGGAAATTAGGAAACAATTCCACTATGAACAAAATAAAAACAGAAATCCCATTTCAAAATCACCCTTTCTAGCTTCTGTGGCCTGATTTTTGTCAGAATTTCTTTTCTATGTGTAATATATTGAAGAGGCTACTTGTCCTTTTCACTTCCACTACCACCAGATGCCTTTGGGTTTTTTTCTGCATTTCTCTTACAGAGAAATCCCACTACCAAAGCTGCTGGCCCTTTTTTTTTTTCGTAAGCTGTAGAAAAAAATCTTATTCTGTTCTCTGTATTAGCTTAAGAGGCTTCTATTTTACATATATTCCTAGCATAAATGCTAAATTTCATATTGAAAATCAAGTTTTGAGTCCTTGAGACCTTGCTAAAGTAACTCTAAAATGGATCTAAAATTTAGAAGAAAGTAGAGTGGTGTGACACTGGCTAAATTATTCTACTCCAAATTCAAAAAATAATTAACTAAATTCTGCTTATCTGTATTTCACTGCTTCTGCCACCATTGCTAATAATCAGTTCTATGAGAAGTGATATTTTAAGAATTAACCTCTTTTTGGTTATTATCTAAATTATCCTTCACATTTCAAAATTTGCTGCCTTGAACTGAGATAGTAGTGTAGAAGAGAAGAAAGTTAGTAACTTAATCTAATTAATTTACATAAAATATATAAATTAAACATACAAAAAAAATCTTCTCAAGATTTACAATTCCCTATATTCTACACCATTTTTTCTGCAAGGTCAGCAATGTTTACCAAAACTGAATCTAAAGTACCATTTCCTCTCTTGGGTCACTGCCTGCTTGGTGTCAGCTGTCATCACCAGTATTCTCTAATTCATTATTAGGGTATTTTTATTCAACTCTGTACTTCCCTGGTGACACAATTTGCAGTAGTACTATCCTTTTCATCAAATTAAAGATATCTCTATTTATATCCAGATATGTCCTTAGGGAGCCCTTAGTAAACAAGGGATATAACTTTTACTGTTCTTCCTAAAGTGACTTTGACCAAATTCACTTTGTTCTGTCCATGCTGTTGCTATATCTTTACATTTCTGTCATCTTACTATTCCATCACCATCACTGTCTTTCTTTAATGCTGAACAATTGGTTCATGCTTTCTAGACAGGCTTGGTTTACCCGTATGTTTCTTGTTTCCTAAAATGCCTTGGTTAGTTTTATGTGCAAGCATTAGGTCTAATTTCTCCCAGTTTAAGTAATTTAAGTAAGTTAAATAAGTTAAGAGTTCCTTACTTAATATGCAAACTCTGGCATTTAACATGACAGTGTCATTTTTCATTTTACTTTTGTCAAGTTTCTTAGCCTGATTTGTTGTATTCCTCTCACTAATTGCATCACTTAACCTATTATAGTTCTCATGAGTATGATATGTAGATGTTTCTGCTTTTCATCTATTATCCTACTGCTTATTGTTCATTATTGTATCCTCATATGCCTAAATCTGCTCTCTTGTATTAAACAAAGCTTAAAGACTACCTGAATTTCTATTACTCTTCCTTCCTTTTTAAATTACATGCATGTTTTAGCAGTTATATATATTTTGATCCCCAAAAGTATTATCAAGTGCAACAGGTATCATTTGGAGTCTCTCCTCCTTGTCTATGCTCTATGCAGAAGGAAATTTCAAATTTATTAAATTGAGCTGAGAGTGAAAGACTACAACAGCTCTGAAAATGTTTTCACTCAGGAAGTCTGTGCCATCAGGGCAGCAGAATTCCACACCAATAAGAGAGAATGGAAGGCATCTTCCAGAGGTGCTTTGTATTGTATGTTCAAAACACTACAAAACCAGTTTTGTTCCTGGGAAAGATATGAGCAGTGTTATCTGGATTTTAGAGCTTAGGAAACAGCAAGGGAGGGTGATTTGCTTAATACGTTGCCTAGAGTCATTCTGTAGGCTGGCCTCTCAGCTGCAACATCTTTGAGGTGCCAGAGGAACAGGCTCTCACTATAATGTCAGGATGAAATACAGGTGTCTAGAAGTAGTTTTTACAATTTAATTTTTTTTCTTTCTTTACCAGGGGAGCTATAATGAAGCTTGTGAATATTTCAGTCAGGCTTATGAAACAGCAAAAAGTTTAAATAATTTGCCCTTAGTGGATGAAACAAAAGCTTACTATGGCATTGCAAAGGCTCATAAACTGATGGTGCCATTTAATAGCCATACAGAAGCAGAAGATCTCACCAGCCTCAAGTATCTGCTGGCATGGAAGGAGAACAGAAGTGACATGTGCACTGACCCTCTTACAGTTGGTAAGACATTGGTTATGAAACACATTAGTGCTGTATTGTCCTCAACGGTTCAGTCATTTTTCTTGTAGTTTTATTAAATTATTTCCTGGGTTTAATTCACATGCTGAATGGGGTTTACTCCTTTGTCAGCTTATTTTAAAGGCTGAATTAAGTAAGTTTAATAATAGGTAGAAATGGATAAAACGGGGAGAAAAAATGTAACAATGGGCAACAGATAGTAGTACTTGCTATGGATGGTAACTTACTTTTTTTCAGTGCTGTTTTCCAAAACATCAGTTATGGGCAAGAAGTGTTGTATTAGTTTATTCAATTATCATTATTTTAATCCTTAAAAAAAATAAAAAATCTTCATTTCTGGACAGTTTTTCATGTGCATCCAAGGATAAGTACCCTGTTTCTAAAAGTAAGAAAGAATTTCTGCTTGATATAGGGAGCATAGTTTTGAATTCAGAAGAACATGCTGTTTTATTTTTAGCATCCTTATACGTGACATTGAAGAAGAAGGAAGGAATAAAAAAAAAAACCACAACCCTACTCTGTTTTCCTCGCTGTGTTTCCTTATCTGAGGTAAAGGGTAGAGAAGGACTTTGTACAGAGTAGACCTCTTCATGGGTTAAATTTTCTTTACTTTTTTTTTCCCCTTTGCTATCTGTTAATACAAGAAAAACTGATTTATGCATTATCTCCAAGTATTGATAGTATTAAACTATATTGTTCTTTGGAAGGAAAAGGGACAAGTGTATTGCATCTTAAAGCTTTCCTCTCTGTATTCCTGTGGAGAGTGTGAATCTGGAGTATAGTGAAAATAAATGACATCTGGGCCAAATTTGTAACATGGAGCTTCAGAGTTACTGTGTCCAAATTCCCTCAGTTATCATACTCTCAAAGACAAAGAATTGCATGTCTGCTGTTTTCTTTTGTACGTTTTCCTTTCATAGAATTGGAAAATGAAGTATAACTTCAATTGTAAATTTTATATATAAAATAAGTGGTTAATAGACTGATATTCAAAGATGTTAGCAGCTTAATAGGAGCCAGGACACCAGAGGCAACACTGGAAGCAACTGAGAACTGTGAAACAAAGACTTTTACTGGCATGCTGAAGTGATGACAAATTAGGTAGCACACTCTTTGGAGTTCTAGTGATGGTAACAGGGCAGTCCTTTCTCAATGATACTGTGTTTCTTTTTCAATTACCATATATATTTGTGATTTTTGCCTCAGTAAGTGAATATTCAGCACATTCTTAGGTTTTGGTGGCTGACAGAGTTAACTGGGTGCATGTCTCCTGCAAAGGACAGTAAGTTCCTAGACCTGTAGTGCACATGCCAAGAATTCCAATATGGTCAAAGAAGAATCCAATGTCAAGCAATTTTATACGTATTTCATATGAGGCTCATTAGCTGCAGCTGATGTAAATAGGAGGCAAAGAAAAATCAACAATGGCAACAACAAAATAACAGGAGCCTCAACAATATAGGATGATATTTGTATCTTCAACATGTATTTTACTTCTTTCACCTAAAGAGGTTTTCCATTCCGCTTTTATACATTGCTTTCTCCAGTCAATTGTGAAGCTTGTTTATATCCTGAAATGGTATGTGCCCCTGTAAGCTTGAGATTCATGCTTCTTTTTAACGGTACTTCGGGGATAAAAAGAGTATGATTAGAAAAACCCTTTATGTCCTGGGAAGCATGATGCCAGAAACAAGTTTTGCCTGCTGAGATTCTCTTCCTTCTGCATTTCTGCCTAGTTTACCCTCTGTTACTTTCAGTATTAAGTTTTTATTTTAGTTCCAGTTAACTCCAAGAACCCCGTGGCTACTGCATATTTAGCAGCTCTTCCAGTTCAATATCATTCTTCTCATTAGTGCTCCAAGCTTACTCTCATGATACCCCAGATTACATCCAGGAAAACATAGTGTCACACTGTCAGCACAATCTGTAACATTCTTCGTGTTTTGTGTGCCAAATCTCTCGTTAGTACTGGCATTACATTTTTAATATCTTTGTCTGGCAAAACATGACCTGGCATTAATTCAATATTAGGATTCACTGGCTTTGAGTTTCAGGTACAGCCTTTATCCTACCTTCCAGGAGAATGTCTGTGCATCCTGTGATAAACTCATCACTTTGGAAATTCCTGCTGTGATAATAGAACAGTAATTCTAGCTCTTTCAAACAGCTCAGCATCAATAACCTACTAGATTTTTCTCAGTCTTTTTAGGATAAAACAGCTAAAGACAAGATACAATACTAATTCTTAATCCATGGGGGATTTAATGACAGGAAGGTAATAACTTTTTATTTCTAACTGTTCTGACTGAATAATATTTCTGTGACAAAAAAAAAAATAAAATCAGAGTAGTTTCTGTATTCTTAGGCAGGATAAATACTTAGACTATCAGACAAGCAATGACATCTAAATTCAAATACTGCCATGTACCTTATGTCTTTCAACCAAGGCTTATTTTCCAAATCAATCATTTCAACAACTAGGCAGGATGAACCATTATTACTTAACTTATCTCAACATTTATTAATAATATGGATGCTTTGACCAAAGTTGTCATGGACAAAAGGGACAGGATTGTCAGAAAACTGTTTATAAATGCAAAGGACAATGTGTTTCCATCTCCTGCATTTGACTTGGTCACCTGTCTTCACTTACAAAAGGAATATTTATGCCATTGTGAGATGCCTCTGCAAGAACAAATAATTTTTTTATTGATCTGTTATGATTAGTCAAACATGTTTTCAAAACAATCAGCAGAATCAGTAGATAAAAAGGCTTGTGACTCCATGTTAAAACCTATAAAAGAACCTACAGCACGACTAACATTGATGAGAAAATATTTCACAAGTCTTTCAATAAATAATCTCCAAGGGAGAAGAATAATTAAAGGTGCTGAAGGCAGGAAAATTTTGGATCAGATTTTTTTATATTGATTACATGAAATGCTGACCAGGAATTGTGTTTTCTGTGAGTGTGGCAACTTCTAGGTCGTTGCATCTAGTAGGGCTGTGCCTCAGCAAGAGGTCTTTGATGCTTGAAATCATCTAAACACTTTTAAGAGTAGACTTAAAATGTCTCGTTTTCCTCATACTAAAAAGTCTTCAGTTGTTTTCTTGAGAAATGTTATGTGTTTTTGAGCACAATTTAGATTATGTTTCTTAACTTACCCCGAAAAGTTGCCACATTTTACAATCACAGGTTTTCCATGTTTTCTTGGTTTGGTTTGGTCCTTTTTTCCTTTTTTTTCCTTTTTTTTTTTTTTTAATAGCTATAACCACAGCTTAAATGGTTGTCTTACCCATATGATCAATTGTGACATCCTACAATCAATGGAGTTATCTTGTACCATCAACTTCAGAACTATTTCTAGCATTCCTCGTTAGAACATGATAAACTGCTTTTTTTACTGCCTCTTCTTTCTGAAGAACACTAATTCCAGGAAAACTTCTAACAGTACGAATCTTATCTTTCCTTCTTTAATAGGTACCTCAAATGCATGCTAAGTAAAACTGTTATGCCATGGCACTGTACCCAAAATGCTTGACTGTACTTGAGCAAATTAAAACAAATCTTAATTAGGAATATGCATAGCAAATTATATTTTGTATTTGCCCAGTAAATTTGCCTTGGTGGTAGCAGATTTTTTGATCTGAGACTATTTAAAAGGGAAGGCATCAAAACTATAAAACCAGCAAGTATTTGTACCTTACACAGATAAACATCCATAAATAGTTTTTATGTGGTATCAGTGGAAAGTTAGTAGCTTGGGTTAACAGGTTCCTTTCACTGCATATTTCATATTTAAAGCTCTATCATAGATTTTGGCCTATCGTGATACCTTACACAGATAAACATCCATAAATAGTTTTTATGTGGTATCAGTGGAAAGTTAGTAGCTTGGGTTAACAGGTTCCTTTCACTGCATATTTCATATTTAAAGCTCTATCATAGATTTTGGCCTATCGTGATACTGACATAGGACTATCAGAATTGTGCACATACATGCACTCCCTCAAAGCCACTGTTTGTGTCTCTGTTATATTTATTACTTTAAAAGGTCTATTCTTCAGTCAGCATGTACAGAAGGGAAATATATATTAGCTTGCATGGTGACTGAAATTAGCATACAGTCTTACTATTTTAACATGTTTCTTCTTGATGGCATATTAGTGGGGTTTGTAACTATGTTGTTGAGTAAAGTTAGTGACAAAGTAGCTTGACTGAATTTGAACAGGACAAACTATGACTTTCTTCCCAACCACTGCTGTAAAGAAAATAGGAATGACTCAGGCCCTCATTTGGGGAAGTTGAGAGCATGCCTGTGCCTCACAAGAACCTTCTGGGGACCACCCTCCTCTCAGCAATCTGTTCACTGTGCTGGATGTAGGATCTGTAATGGACACTCCTTCAAGTTCTATATGTTTATGATATATGTCAATATCAAATTGTTAATATGACCAAAAATAATGAGAAATTGAAAGGACTTTAGAGACAGGTTTCAGTGTTTTCTGAGAAAATACAGCTGAACGTGGAATAAGGGAATTATACACTTGTTCCCACTGTTAAATAAGAACTATGAATTTAAATTATTGAAAGGTTTGTGACCAAGTACAGACTCCAAGGCTGTCCCTGTGCCAGGGCACAAAGGCTCACTTCTTCATAAGCATGTTTCAGAAGTAGCTGAAATACTTCAAGTGTTCCCCACTGAAATTCAGAGGATAGCTTCTGCCCATTTTTGTGGGGTTTACTGATTTAAATAAATTGCTGTCTTCTGGAAAAATAATGTGGTTAGAAATACCAAAATATGTACATTTAAAAAAAATGATTAGGAAAAAAAAATGTAGAGATGGTTCTGTCTTTTTTTTTTTCCTTGAAAATTTTCTAAACTTGTACTGCCTCTGCTTGTTCATATCACCTAGCACTCACCAGTTGCTGAATTTTAGATTTTCTCACTTTTCTGTTTAAAGAATCTCAGTCTTTCTTT